TTATTAATAATCAATCTTGGCATTTAATCGTGTTAATAGAAAAAAACCTTGTCAAAACTAGAATAACCACTATTTTAAAACATCAAGAGTGGGACTGAGCTACCGCTCATCAGTAGCAAAAACACGTATCCTATTGGGAAGACATTGGCTTCAACATACTTCCCATAAGAACAGCGAGAGATTCCTTCCCCAAGGCACTGTGCTGATTAGCTTTTTTTTAAAAAAAAAAAAAAAATAAAAAAGTGAAGTTCACTGCTGCACAGAGGGTGAACACAGGACCTGGGTCCCCCAAACCCTGTGAGACTTTTTGCTGGCCCTCTGCACAAGCCTGAGCCACACCTGAGTCATCATGATGACACCATCAGGGCAAAAATACACAGGTCCGTTTGCAATTATTAAAAAGAACATATTAAAACACTTTGGCATTATACAAAATTCTGCTTTTTCCTGGTTCATAAGTACACCCTAAAATTATCATGTAGCTAGCTAGAGAAGTATGTACTGTTATGTTATTTACAAAACAGTTTCAATAGAAGAGTTGAAGGCACTATTTCTTAGTAAATGTCATATCCTCTCTTCAGAAAACACACACAGCATTTCCACGTACAAACCAGCTCTTGCGCACTTCTAAACACTGCAGCTTGAGCTGCCTAAAAGTAGAATGAAGAGCCAGAAAAAATCCAGCACTTCATATATTCTCCATACAATGAAAACACCGCTACTTTATCTCCTTTTGCTGGGAAATGATGAGTGAAACCTGGGGACTCACTGAATCCCGTACCCAGCTGGTACCTCTTGGCAGCTTGTTGTATTTACTTGTCTCTCCCAAGCAGCCGCTGAAGGAGCACACGCCTGAGACTGGTCCAGAGCATCTGTAGCGGGATGAAGGACCTTTATTTACTACTTTATGAACTGATTTCTTCTTATGTATTAGAGGACACACCAACATCATTCTGAAAATACATTACCGTGCTTCAGCGGTTATAGTGGTTTGTTCATTAGTCACGCTTTCTAGAACGGTCAAAAGATGCGCAGTCTCCCAAGTTACCGACATTTGCTGATATGTAATAAGAATAACCGACTGTATGCCCTAAAACGCATTCAGGAAAGGAGAGGTTAGTTCTTTACCTCTTTGTTTACTCAACCAGATTTGGCTCTCGGGTTTTTTTTACACCAACTTAACTCCACTTGATCACTAAATACTCAATAGAAAGAGACATACTAAAAAACAGACCCAAACCTATTAAAGTGACCTTTTTGCCTTGTGTTCTTTCCCTTCCCTTCAAAACCTATTTTTAAAATGGTGACAGAGTTCTTAAAGCATGTACCACTCCCCATTTTCAATACTTTCAGTCCCCTAGGACAAGAAGCCACACGTCATCTCTACCAAACTGCTGTGTAGGTTGGTAGCTAAGGGTAGAGCAGTGTGACTTTACCACTGCCCAGTCACTTCAGTGTTTTATCACAAGCTTAGGCTTTACCAAGCCAGGTAGTTGCTGTTGCTTTCCTAAGCAGCCATGTTGCAAAAAAGGAAGATTTCTTTTAGGCAAATTCAACAGCAAAACATTTTCCATTGTATTACGTTTTGCCTTTGGGGTAGGAACTACCAAACTCAAGAAAAGACACACCAAAAAGCACAACTATGGAAATATACGGTTTCCACAAGTTAAATGTGAGGCGTACATTATCTTTAAGATTTGATTATTTATGGATAAAATTTTCAGCATCTACATGCATGACTCAGGAGCGTAAGTCTCACAGTAATGACCAACAAGTAGCTCCTCCTGCTAGATTTGTAAAAAAGAAGTTTTCAGGAATCTATTTACAAGGGACCTTTGACACAGGACTTCCTAAGAGCTCTCTATACACTTCTTCACATGTCTAAACAGCATAAAATTTTTTTGCTCTTTGTCATGCTCATAATGTTCAGCACTATTACACCTCTAAAAAAGTATCTTTAGTATTTAAATCTATTTCACATTTCTTATATCGGATGCTGTGAGGATTATCAAAATTCAGACCACAAATACAGTGTAGCCCTCATGCAGGGTCAATGTCAAAAGCCACTGCCAGAGAAAACCTGTTAATAAACTCAGCTCTAGGGACCCCAGGAATATGGGGGCTCCCACAGAGACACGGCTAAATCCAATCATACTTGTCTCTCCAATGAATTAGAGAAGTAAGCCCCCGATGAAAGTGCCTGTCACTAATACGTTTAAATAGGTAACAGACCAAAAATGGTTAGTCAAACACGCCAGCGTCTGGGCTTAACTAAGCATGGATCAGTGCTCGTGCAGACAGCAGCCGGTAAGTATCTCGCGGAAGAGGAGCCAGCAGCGCAGAGTGCAAGGCAGTCCCAGCGGCACAGCCGACTGCACGTCGGCACGCACAGTGACCGGCATTGCTATTTCGAGCTAGCCACAGCCCTTCGGTTTCAGCTCTCAGGCAGGTATTCTGGAATTAAGGCGATTTGAACATGGAATAAAAGTAAGACTTGAATAGCTACATCGACTCAGAGCAGCTAACTGCACGATGGTTAGTTCCCCTTCTTCCCACAAAATCCCAAAGGGTAGGTAAGTAATTTCTGCAAAAGCTCAGGTTCCCAGCTGGCTTTCAAGGTTAACCACAGGTACAAACAGCAGCAATACTTTTAACCTAAAAGGAATATAAAAATGAAACAGACTGCAACTAACAAGAAAGATTAAATCTCTCGGTCTCCCAGAGATTTTAAAAAAGGCATATTTGGCTTCTGATAAACATTTGCAGTTTGGGAGGAATGATTTGTCAACCTTGCAAGAACCAGAAGATAGTGCCTTGAATAGTTAGTTTATGCCAACAGCACACGGTAACAAGAGAGGCCCAGGAGAGTAAAGAGGAGATAAGGAATATTTAGACAAGTTTCTCAACAAGGCACAATAGTTGATTTATGGCCCGAATGAAAGCCTACTGAAAGTATTCCACTTGATTTCAGCAGGTTTTAAATCAAGTCGAGCCTTAGGGGAAAAAATTGCAGAGATAAAAATTTTATTAACTGTTCCAGCTTTACTACAAAAAGTCAGCTAAATGAAAATTTTAAGTTTACCTCTGGCAAATGATCCTCAGCAAGAAGAATGTGCTGTCACTGCATTTGCTGACACGCTGAATACTGCCACCATAACTGCCACCCAGTCATTAACGGAACAAGGAGCAAAGGAACTCTTCAAACAGATGATGTTAAACCAAAGAAAACATTGAATATTGGGTGGTGGAGGATGTTCAGTTCAAACGAAAAAAATATGGCAAGAAACGATGTAAGTAGACTGATCTACAAGATATATGCATTTTGTTCAACTTTGTGTGAGCTTATGTTTTAAAATGATTCTTTTATTAGTGATATTAACAAATACAAGCCTAACTAAATCCATTAATAGTAATGTTAAATTCTGAACAATATTTGAGTGATTTGGGGGAGAAAAAAAAAAAAAGTAAATGGACTTGAATACTTCACTTCTAGACAAGCTGTCATTGTTTCTTCTGTAGTGTTTCCAAAGCATTCCAGTCCAATCTCTTAAGAACACCTTAATACCCAAAATACTTCACGTTATCAGTTCTAGATCACTTGCCTCTAGGTACAAGTCAGTCCTGGAAACAACACCCCTATCGGGGGCCTTCAGAATCAAAATGTCTGAGCTGATAATTTATAATCTCATTCTTCAAAAACCTTCTGACAAACAGTTTGATTTAGATGAGCAAGACATTACCCAAGAAGTTTCTGATGCCCTTGCTTGTACCACATTATTCTATCGGTAGTCAACGTTAGCAACTGCATTTTTATAAAGTATCTTTTATTAGCCAACCAGAAAGATCAATGTTTATAGTCCTGCTGTAAACAATCAGTGGAATATAATAACAGATTCCAAAACAGAAAATTAGGACAGAAAATTAGGATACAGAAACCCAGCACATAGTATCCATGTCAAATCTGACTCTGAAGAGTGGAAGACAAGAGGAAAAAAAGGAAGGGCACTTCTTCAGAGCTTCAGGTCTGGAAGAGGCCAAACCACTTGTATTTCTTTCTTAGAACAGTGCAGAAAAGATACAATTTGTTATTATGAAATATGTTATATTGTCATGGTGTTGTAAAACAGCATAAAAGCAACGGAAGGTTGGTTAGGAACCAGAAATATCAGGCCAGAAATCCTAGAGCAAAAATAAGACTAAAAAGCCCACCCATAATGCTAATTATATCACAAAATGTTCATATTGATTACAAAAATTTCCATCTCGGTCCAAGCTCTTTATACATTATAAGTAACTGCTGAGGATGGACAAATCAAAGCTAACAAGCTAGCTTGAAGTTCCCAGCTGAGAAGCTGATGGCACTGTAATACAGTGGTACAAACCCTGCGCCGGGTGGACACCAGGTTCTGCAGCCACTGCTGCTGTCTGGAGCCTCAGCCACGCCACTCACAGTCCATGAATCGGCCACGGATTTTAAAGCTAGTCCGGGCAGAGCTACCCTTACTGCAAACCCAAAGAATAGGAAAAATAGTAGAAACAATGAACGAGGGGAAGGGAGAAAAAGTCTTTGAAACTCCCCTTTTATGCTTCGGTTTCCATTGTCTACCCCAAAATGAACTTCTATATTTGTTGTACCAACCTGAAGGTTTAGAAACCAAAGCTGTGCTGTAGACCCATCAAAAGGACAAATATTTATTACAAAATGATAAGATGAAATATTTGATCATTTCCCTTTGGGAGCATGTGCAGGGGAAATACCTCTGAAACGCCTTCTGGACTGTATTTCACTTCAAATATATTGACTGTTTCTAAACTATTAAGGAATTTAAAACTTGCTTCCAGAAAATACCATGAAGGATGATTTAAATTAAGTATTACAGTATATATGTTACATCTGATAGAAGACAGACAAATCTTACTTGCATTTTAAACTTCTTTGGAATGAAGTTACCTAATACACATACACGAGAATAACATCACACCAGATAATATGCTCTGACCTTTCTGTTTTTGATTCATTGTCACCTCGATAGTGTTCAAGGTCTTGGTAAAGAGACTGCAATTCTGCTTGAAGTCCTTTTTCCCGTTCTATACTTCCTTCATAAAATTTAATCTCCTTTTCCATTGCTTTTACTTTTTCTTCCATCACCTTAAATTCATGAAGTATCAAATAGCTGACTCCACAGTATTTACACACTGTCTCATCCCGGGACATCTAGAAAAAGATAAAGTTGTAAGATTGTTTGTAAGAAACAAGTTGAACAAAGCACAATCCTGAGTGACACTGAATAAAAATAATATATCTGAATAGTTTAAACTGTTCACTGCTCTGAAGCATTTATGATCCGACAATATTATTGCTTTAACAAATAATAAAAACAAAATTCTACATTAGCAAAATGAAATCAAGCTATAGGAGTACTTTCACTTACTGGAAACTTCACAAGATATATCAACTATGCAATTTACGATGTGGGAACTCCCGGTGGAATTCTAAAGTGAAGTACCTCTGAATTATGTTTGATGTATTAATTTAAAATAAAATGCTGTGTTTTACAAAGTTATCTCCTTAATGAATTTTCTGGTCGCCTGAGCCAGAAAAAAATGTTATTTACTGTGGTTTTTTGGACAACTCATGTCCAATTGAAGTAGGAAAGATGAAAAGTGGAAAGTGAATAGAATGATGTAATCCAGCAATCTTTACAAAAATAATTGAAACGAGTAAGGGACTAATTATTATGATGTAGTGTCCATGGCACATGAGTGTTGTGGAAAATGTAGTCCATTTACTAGGTATGAAGTATTCATCACTGATTAAAAAAATACAGAGTACGTAATACACACCTAACTGAAAGACCATTTCTTAAATTGAGAAATGTACTTTCATAAGTGATCAAATGATTAAGCTTTGCAGGAAGCAAGGCTTCATAAATATGAACAGATAGATGTGTTCTGACTTTGATACGTACTTATTACTCAGTATATCAGTTATTTCTCTGTATTTTAATAATTTTCACTTCCAGAAAAAAAAAAGCTCAGTTTAGAAGTAATGCAGAACTGAAATTCCACAAGAAGTGGATATCGAGTAAATAAACCGGCCAGCCCAACCCAAGCAGGTCCAACACTTCAGTAGGGGACACGCAAGCATCTGCTCACCCCCACGGCTCCCGGATCCCTCAACACTGCAGGTTTTACCCTGCCCTTGGGTTGCAGCATAAATGCATTTGAGAGGAGATGGTTAGAATTAAGACTAAATCAGAGGACGCTCATAATGCAGCTAAAGAGACAACCTCAAAGCACCCAATATAAAAAGGCATCAGTAAGCGTGGAAACATGAAAGACGGCAAACGGGAAGAGCAGCTGTGTGTTTGTTTACTGCGAGCGTAAAACACACTTTAACCTTTCTTGCAATTATCAGCTGTTACAAGGGTTTTGACACAATGACTGACGAAAACCAGAAAGCTGGAAAACTGCAAATAGTTTAAGTCAAAGAATGTAAGAGTCCCTTGCGTGACAGAAAAAGAGACATTTTGAGACATTGGGATAAATTGAAAGAAATTATACTTAGATGAAAGAAAACAGTTTTCAAAAATTATAAAGTAAAGACTCATTATCCCCTGATTCAAAAATCTTCAGCACTTTAAATATAGCTTCATAAAAATGATATTTCAGGATGTCCTGGAATTAGCAGGCCAGGCTTTATTTTCCGATTTCTTAGTTTTCCCCCAGTTTAAAACACCCCTAGTTACAGTTGCTCTGAATGAGCTGAAAATGCAAGTTTATTTTTCCTGGCAGCTTCCAACTGTGCTTGGAAATATGAAACTGTTATTCAGGATAACTACCATAAAGTTCCAAAGCACTAAAATTACTATATTGAAAAAGGACAAAATGAGCTGTTATGAGGAGCACAGGAGGGGGGCTCTTATCCCCAAAAGAACATTGTGCTCTCTTGCAGCACCACCGCCGCTGTCTTTCAAACAAACAGTTATAGAAATTTCACTGGGTACTAAGATTAAAAACAAAATAAAACGACTGGAGTCCTCAACTGGAAATGTTTTACGCAAGTACTAAAACTTTGTTTTCAAACTCAATTTTGTTACTGAACTTAAAAATAAATTAAGTCATAGAACAATAAATATTATCCAGCTGGACTTTGTGGGACATGGGGCCCAATCTTCTTCACACCCATTCCTGAGGTGAAGTAAAAACTCAAAAGGACTTTGGATCAGGTTGGCTTTTTAAAGTATTTGCTACATAGTCAAAAATCACAAGACAGCCCGATGGCCTTATATTACTGCAGTAAGGAAAGAAAGTTCTGTCTTTTACTCAGAACCTCGCTTCTGTGCATGCGCAATTATCCTGCAACCACTGCAATATGCTGTATATAGACATGAACTAGTGGTGTGGTCTGGGCTGGACTGGCCACTGAAACCTCAAACCAGGACAACTAGTTTTAAAATGTCTATCTGTAGTGTAAGTAGCAGTTTCTTAATACCAGTAATGAATTTGGCATGGGTCAAGTGACGCTCAACAGGCAAACCAGCCTAAACTAAATTCTATGCTGCAGTAGATTAACACCAATAAGCAAGCTAATTAATTTAAATCCAGCACATGTATGCCCAATATGCCTAGAAAATTAACAGGAGCCAGTTGAAAGTGAATAGTTCCAAAGAGCAAGGCCTGAACTGGGCGGAGCAAGGGGTGTACTAATCTGAATTCTCATCCGAAATCCAAGATTCCTCTCTCATGCCCATAGAGGTCAAATCACAAGCAGGACTTCTTTTTCTTTTTTTTTTTATTTCTTTTTTTTTTTTTTCTTTTCCCTCCTTCCCCGCTCTGTCTTGCACTGTCAACATCACAACCCGAGTTATCCTCATTGATACCTAAAATATCTCCTGAAATTTCTGAGCCGGTTGAACATTTTTCAGGAGCTATTGAAGCCTCGCAGAGGCAGGTACAGAGAAATGCTGCCAAGCTGTAGACACCAATTTCATTTGGCCAAAATAATGACAAAGCTATCTTAGGGCTACACCAATTTAAAGGGCAGAGCCAGAAGGGATTTTATACCTTTGAAGACTACTTACAAACTAAATGGTTTTGGATTTTGCACAGTTTCCAAGAGTAATAACATTACTTCATCTATGTGTGTATTCCTCTATTGTCACCCTTCAATAATTTGTGAACCAGAACGTTTGGTCATTTATAACCAATTCTGATACTGAGGGCAGAAATATTTAAGTGTCTAAAAGTTTTAGACAACCAGGTAGGCAACAGACGTCATAAGTTCCCTGCTGAAAAAAACTCTGGAGTGTGAGCACAGTCCTTATCAGATAATCCATATAGGAGATGCACATAGAGAGATGCATATAATCCATATAGAGAGAGCGCCTTATAAATGGTTTGTCCAGGAGAAAAGATTCCATTCGACCTTGTATCTTAGACACCAAAGTTGATCAACCATTACACAAAAGTCTGTAGGAAACAAATCTTCATTAGTTCTTATGCTTACAAAGCTACCTTTTCTGGAAAAATGCTGAGTAACCACTAAGAATGTGTATTACATACACAGTGATTTGTGTTTTCAGATTCCACATGTCACTACTTACATTTGATCAAAAGATTTGTCATCTTCTCAAATGCAAAGCAGGAAAAAAAAAACACAACACAAGGGAAAAGCGGAGTTTGGAAAGAATAGAAAATGAAACTATCGGAGCTCCAACTAGAAAAGAAACTGTGTATGTCCTTAGCAGTGAGAATAAGCAGTGAATAGTAGAAAAAAAATTAGGAATTAAAAAAAAAACAAACCCAAACCAAAAACAGAAGGTAATTTTAGTATTGTGGTTTTGGTCAGCCTGGAGAGGGAAACTCAGGGCAAACAGGACTTGACAAGGTAACAGACGGATACCAAATAACCCTGCTGTGGGAGATAGCACGACAGTACCGCGTGCACAGTAACAACATAAAAAGAGAAACAAATTCACAGAGGACAAAGTGCTTGAACTAGCAAGGTATTTGATCCGTAAGATTTTGGGCTGCAGTTCTGACACACATTACACCAGGTGCTATAAAGAAAGGACAAGAGCTATGTCCAGAACAAACCGTATCACAAGGCAGCATTTCTAGCTGTGATAGTCCAGCAGCTGTCCCACTACAGCATCTGTGGGAGTAGTTTCAACTCAGAGCTGCGTTTGGTTTTGGAAGTACTAATATTATTCCATGGTTACATAGATTTCTTTAGCTACCAAGGGCAAGTGGAGAACTGAGCCAACATGGATAGTCGCTCAAATTACATTTGTCTGACTCAGTACCGTAAGCATCTGTAGAGCATAAGTTATAAAGGAAAAAAAAAAAAAGAAAAAAAGACTTTGGTGGTCTGGACCATTTTTAGCCTTTTGAATGACAAGACAGGAATTTATACCATTTCCACTTGACCAAATAACTATAGGGAGCGTCAGCTTGCACACAGCTATTCTTCTGCTCTGATATTTCAGATTCCACCCACAATAAATTACCACGATAAAGAGCTAAATTCTTGTCAAAAGAAAAACAGTCTACTTTCTCACTTAGCAGCGCCTTGGTATTAAAACATCCAGCATATGGATCACTTATGTTAGGAACAGTCCGTTACAAGCAGCTAATAAATAGCCATGATTCTTAAAAGCCAGAACTTAAGTCCTCAATTAATGAGATGCTTTTTAAAAGTTATGAATATGTTTCTGTGCATTGCTGAAATAAAAACACAGAGCCATGAGCACAGATGTACTCCTTGTACATTAATTTTATAGTGCAGGGGAGGGAGAGCCTCAGGGAACTGCAGCACTCGCCGTCCTCCTTCCATCACCCACTGCTCCTCAGGCATATAACGCTGTAATAACAGCTCTTGCTCCCTCCCCAGTTTTCTGTCACGTCTGAGACCCCTTTAACAAGGACTGGCCAAATAACAAAAAATTAAAAAAAAAAATTGTATTTGTCCAAACTACACTGATAGCAGAACAATACAGGAAACTCAAGAAAATAATTTTAAAAATCACTATGCTGCAGCTGGGTGCTCTTAAGTGATTTCTGTATATTGATCGCTTTATTCTACCTCTGCCTGATTCTACCTTATCTACTTTTTGTTTTACTCCTCCTCTGCCATACTACTTTCATTTCTCTCATGCTGTTTGTCACTCCCCTGACAAACTAGCTAATCCCCGCTATGCCAAAAGAAATCAT